CTATCAAAGCCAGGAATATGATATTGGTACAGCGTATGTGTATAGTCCTGTGTTATTTTTTCACATGTGTATATGTGTGTAACCACCAGCACGATCAAGATGCAGAACTATTCTATCACCATGAAGAGCTCCCTTGTGCTATTCTTTATAGTCACACCCCTGTCCCCTCCCTCGCTCAGCTTTTTATTCTCTTAACACTGTCTTTCAAAGACCAGAGGTTTTGAGTAATAAAACTTTTTTTAATAAAAAATGGGCAGATATTTGAACAGACACTTCTGTTCAGATGATTTATGGATACTGAATAAGCACATAGACAGATCTGCAGTATCATTAGTCACTTGGGAAATGAAACTAAAACACAATGGTACACTTTTCTAAAGATTGGCACCTGAGCTAACATCTGTTTTCAATTTTTTTTCTTTCTTCTCCCCAAAGCCCCCAGTACATAGTTGCATATTCTAGTTGCAGGTCCTTCTGGTTCTGCTATGTGGGACACTGCCTCAGCATGGCTTGATGACTGGTGCTCGGTCCGCGCCCAGGATCCTAACCAGTGAAACCCTGGGCCCCGAGGCGGAGTGTGGAACTTAACCACTTGGCCACGGGGCCAGCACCCACAAAACAACTGTACATACTGTACGATTCCATTTCTATAAAATTCCAGTAAATGCAACCAAATCTACAATGACCAAAGCAGATTCAGTAGTCACCTGGAACCAAATGGAACATGAAGATGAGAGGGATTTTGGAGGATAATGGATATGTTCATTATCTGACTGTGGTGATGACTTTACGGGTGCATACGTGTGTCAAAACTTATCAAATTATACATTTTAAATATGTGTAGTTCATGGTATGCCAATTATACCTCAATAAAGCTGTCAAAAGCAAACAACCCATTAAAGATTTATTTCTTGCTCGTGCGTCATGCCCATCATGAATTGGCTGGAAGTGTTTTCCCCATCCTCCCTCTGGGACCCAGGCTGACAGAGAAGGCCTGCCTGGGCAGTCTCGATTGCCGTGGCAGAGGGAGGCACAAGCAGGTGGCAAAACACACAGATTCTTAGAGCTCCCACCCAGAAGTAATAAGGCCACATCTAAGTTTTGAGGCTTTATTAGGTGCTCATGGCTTCAGGATTATTATATATTCCTGTTGAATTGGAACTCATCATTACATGGCCTTTTTTTTAAACCTGGTAATAATACTTTTCCCTTTATAATCTGTGATTTCTCATATTAACATAGCTACACACAGGCCCCTTTTTCTCTTATTTTTGGTTAGTAATTACTTGAGTTATCTTTTTGAATCCTTTTATCTTTAACCTTTCTGTGTCCTTACATTGCATTTGTTTGTTTATTTATTGTGGTAAGAACATTTAACATGGGATTCACCCTCACCAAATTTTAAGTATACAAACAGTATTGTTACTCTGGGCACTACGTTGTATTATTGTTACTAAAGGAATTGTATTGTCTCTAGTACTTATTCACCCTGCATGACCGAAACTTTATAAGTAGAATCACGAAGTATCTGTCCAACTATGACTGGCTTATTTCGCTCAGCGTAATGTCCTCAAGGCTCATCCATATTGTTGGACATGGTGGGATTTACTTTTTTTTTAAGGCTGATTAATATTCCATCGTATGTATATACAACATTTTCTTTATCTACCCCACATTGATGGACATTTAGGGGCTTTCCATACCTTGGCTATTGTGAACAATGCTGCAATGCACTTGGGAGTAAAGACATCTCTTTGAGATCCTTCTTTCAATTCTTTTAGATAGATACCCAGAAATGGGATTGCTGGATCACATGGTAGTTCAATTTTTAACTTTTTGAGGAATCTCCATACTGTTTTCCACAGCAGCTGCACCATTTTATATTTCTACCAACAGTGCACAAGAGTTCCAGTTTCTCCACATCCTCATCAACACTTGTTTTGTTAATAGTGGCCATCCTAACAGGTGTGAGGTAACATCTCATTGTGGTTTTGATTTGCATTTCCCTCATGATTAGTGATGTCAAGCACCTTTTCATATACCTGTCGGCCATTCGTATGTCTTCTTTGGAGAAACGTCTATTCAAGTCCTAACCCATTTTTTAATCAGGTTTTTGTTTTTTTGCAATTGAGTTGTAGGAGTTCGTTTTATCTTTTGGCTATTAACCCCTTATCAGATATAGGGTTTGCAATATTTTCTCCCACTCTATAGGTTACCTTTTCATTTTGTTGACAGTGCCCTTTGCTGTTCAGAAGTTTTTTATAGTTTGATGTTGTCCCTCTTGTCTATTTTTGCTTTTGTTGCCTGTGATTTTGGTGTCATATCCAAGAAATTACAAAGACCAGTGTCAAGAAGATTTTCCCTTATGTTTTATTCTAGGGGTTTTACAGTTTCAGATCTTACATTTAAGTCTTTAATCCATTTTGAGTTGAATTTTGTGTATGGTGTAAGATAGGGGTCTAATTGCATTCTTTTGCATGTGGATACCCAGTTTTCCCAACACTATTTGTTGAGGAGACTATCCCTTCCATTGTGTATTCTTGGCTCTCTTGTCAAAGGTCAGTTGACTGTATACACGTGGCCCTCTATTCTGTTCCATTATTCTATATGTCTGTCTTTATACTGATATCATACTGTTTTTATTACTGTAGCTCTGTAATATATTTTGAAATGAGAAAGTGTGATGCCTCCAGCTTTGTTCTTCTTTCTCAAGATTGCTTTGGCTTTTGCGAGTCTTTCGTGGTACCATGTGAATTTTAGGATTTTTTTTATTTCTGTAAAAAATTGCCAAGATTTTGATGGGGATAGAATTGAACCGATATATCACTTTGGGTGGCATAGATATCTTAACAATGTTATCTTTCAATGCATGAACATGGGATGTCTTTCCATTTATTTGTGTCTACTTTAATTTATTTCAGCATTGTTTTATTGTTTTCAGTGTATGAGCCTTTTGCCTCCTTGGGCAAGTTTATCCTAAGTATTTCATTCTTTTTGATGCATTATAAATGGGATTGTTTCTTAATTTCCTTTTCAGTTAGTTCATTGTTGGTCTATAGAAACGCAACTGATTTTTGTATGTGGATTTTCTATTCTTCAACTGAATTTGTTTATTAGTTCTAACAGGTTTTTTTTTTTATGTAGAGTCTTCAGGGTTTTCTACATATAAGATCAGATCATCTGCAAACAGAGATAATTTCACTTTTTCCTTTCTAATTTGGATGCCTTTTATCTATCTATCTATCTAATCTCTGTAATTTCTCTGGCTAGGACTTCAAGTACTATGTTGAATAAAAGTAGTAAGAGTGGGCATCCTTGCCTTGTTCCTAATCTTGGAGGAAAAGCTTTCAGCTTTTCACTGTTGAGTATGATGTTCCCTGTAGGCTTTTCATATATGGTCTTTATTATGTTGAGGTACATTGCTTCTATACTTAGTTTGTTGCGTGTTTTTATCGTGATAGGATGTTGAGTTTTGTCCAATACTTTTTCTGCAAAGTTGAGATGCTCATGTGATTCTTGTCCTTCATCTGTTAGTGGTATATTACATTTATTGATTTTCACACCATGCATCCTGGGGATAAATATAACTTGGTCATGATATATAATACTTTCAATGTGCTCTCAAATTCTGTTTGCTAGTATTTTGTTGAGGATTTTTACATCATATTCTTGAGGGATATTGGTCTGTAGTTTTTTCTTTTCTTGTAGTGTCTTTCTTTGGTATCAAGGTAATGCTGGCCTCATAAAATGTTTGGACATGTCCTTTCCTCTTCAATTTTTTGGAAGAATTTGAGAAGCATTGGCCTTAATTCCTCCTGAAATATTTGGTAGAATTCTCCTATAAAACCATCTGATCCTGGACTTTTCTTTGTTGGGAGTATTTTGATTACTGATTCAATCTTAATAGTTACTGATTTGTTCATATTTTCTATTTCTTCATGATTCAGTCTTGGTGGGTTGTATGTTTCCAATAATTTATCCATTTCTTCTAGGTTATCCAATTTGTTGGAGTATACTTGTTCATAGTAGTATTTTATGATCCTCTTTGCTTCTGTGGCATTAGTTGCAATGTCTCCTCTTTCATTTCTGATTTTTGTTATTTGAGTCTTCTCTTTTTTCTTACTTAGCCTAGCTAAGGGTTTGTCAATTTTGTTGACCTTTTCAAGAAGTCAATTCCCAGTTTTGTTGATTTTTTCTAATCTGTATTTCATTTATTTCTACTCTAATCTTCAGTTATCAGAAGATAACTTTGGGTTTAGTTTTTTCTTCTTTTTCTAGTTCCTTGAGGCATAAAGTGAGTTGCTGATTTGAGATCTTTCTTCCTTTTTAATGTAGGCATGTTCTGCTACAAACTTCCCTCTTCGTGTTGCTTTTCTATATCCCATAAATTTTGGTATGCTGTGTTTTCATTTTCACTTGTCTCAAGATATTTTATGATTTCCCTTGTGATTTCTTCTTTCATCCATTGGTTATTCAAAAGTGTTTTGTTTAATTTCCACATATTTGTGAATTTTCCAATTTTCCTTCTGTTGCTGATTGCTAGTTTCATTCCACTCTAGTCAGAAAAGATACTTAGTATGATTCCAATCCTCCTAACTTTGTTAAGACTTGCTTTGTGGCCTAACATGTGATCTATCCTGGGGAATGTTCCACGTGTACTTGAGAAGAATGTGTATTCTGCTGATGTTGGGGGGAATGTTCTGTATATGTCTGTTAGGTCCATTTGGTTTATTGCGTTGTTCATGTCACCTGTTTCCTTATTGATCTTTTGTCTAGCTGTTCTACCCATTATTTAAAGTGGGGTATTGAAATATCCTACTATTATTGTGTTACTATTTTTCTCTTCACTTCTGACAATGTTTGTTTCATATATTTTGGTGCTCTAATGTTAAGTGCATATATATTTATAATTATTATATCTTCCTAGTGAATCGAGCCTTTTATCATTATATAATGTCCTTCTTTGTCTCTTGTGACAGTTTTTGACTTAAAGTCTATTTTATCTGATATAAATATGGCCACTTTTGCTCTCTTTTGGTTACTATTTGCATGGAATCTTTTTTCTTCTTTAGACTTTCAGCTTATGTGTGTCTTTATATGTAAAGTGACTCTGTTGCAGACAGCATATAGTTGGGTATCATTCTTTGGTTTTTTGTTTTTAAATCCACCCAGCCACTCTATGTCTTTCGATTGAGGAGTTTATCCCTTTATATTTAAAATAATTACTAAAAGGGAAGGAGTTACTATTGCCATTTTGTTCATTTTCTGTCTTGTAGCTATTTTGTCCCTTTTCCTCTCTTTCTGCATTCCTTGTGTGTGTTGGTTTTTTGTATTGACCTGCTTTGATTCCTTTTTCATTTTTTTGTGTGTATCTTCTATAGGTATTTTGTGTGTGTGAGTGTGTGTGTGTGTGTGGTTACTATAGGGCTTACACAAAACATCTTCTAGTTATAATAATCTATTTTAAGCTGATAACAACTTCAATCATATACAAAACCCCAACTCTTTTGCATCTCCCCACCTTCCATTTTATGTTACTGATGTCACAAACTACATCTTTATACAAACTGTGTTCATTAACATAGTTTTATAGTTAGAGTTATTTTTACTCATTTATCTTTTAAATCCTATACTATAAGTGCTTTTTGGAACACCGTTACAATATTACAATATTCTCTATTTCTTTATATTTTTACCTTTACCAACAGCTGTATATTTTCCTATGCTTTCATGTTTCTGTCTAGAATCCTTCTGTTTCAGCTTGTGGACTCCCTTTGAGATTTCTTGTAAGACATATCTAGTGGTGATGAATTTCGTCAGCTTTTGTTTTTCTGGGAAAGTCCTTATTTCTCCTTCATTTTGAAAGATGGTTTTTGCAGGTAGAGTATTATTGGTTGGCAGGTTTTTCCTTGCAGTGCCTTGAATATATCATCCCACTCACTTCTGACCTGTGGGGTTTCTGCTGAGAATACATTGATAATTCTATGGGTGCTCCCTTGTATGTAGCCAGTTGCTTCCAAGATTCTCTCTTTGTCTTTGACTTTTGACAGTTTGATTATAATGTGTCTTGATGAGGTCTCTTTGGATTCATCGTACTTGGAGTCCTTCGACCATCTTGAATTTGAATGTCCATTTCCTTCCTTAGTTTTGGGAGTTTTTTGGCCATTATTTCTTCCTGCTTGCTTCTTTTTTATAGTTTCTATCTCTTTGTTGATATTCTCATTTTGTTCATGCATCATTATCCTGATTTTCTTATGGACTGGCTTCAGGCAAGGGAAGACCCTCAATAATCAGCCTAGCTAGAGATTCTGAGGACCTGTGAAAACTTTTTGGTGGCTACAACTTCTCTGAGCTTGTATAGCTATTTCCCAATCAGAGAGGTTTGCTGGTTTCTTTTTCAGGTGGTTTCTCTTTCCATAATCTCTTGCTCCCTCTGGTGTCTGTCCATGGTACTGCAGGTTCTCTGGTGCCACGGCACCAAGCCACCTGACACAGCAGCATCGAACAGTATGTTGTGCTCAGTGGCATCTGAAGTATTTTGGCTCCCCATCAGTACTCCAAATCAGATGAGACAGAAACCACTCCCTCTGGTGGCCCTCTGCAAAGCCAGAACATTGGATGCATGATCTGCTTTTCTCCCCACCTTACCAGCCACCCTCCCAAAGAACAACCCAAACTGAGCTGTGACAGCTTATGGGTTTCTGGAGTTCTCATAAAGGTATTTTGATCCATACATTGTTGTTAAGTCAGTGTCTCTGTTGGAGATGAAGGCTAGGACTTCCTATCACACCATCTTGCTGAGATCATGGCCTTATCTCTTTCTTGTAGTGTGATATTTCATTTCTCTAAAGCAGCATCAATTATTGTACATGTTCCAATTTTGCAGATGTTAAAATGTGGGGGAAAAAATGACCAATGGTAAAAGTAAGACACCATATATGATAAGATGGGCCACAGTCATGTTATGGAAGAAATTCACTTCTAAGTATTAGTTAAGGTGAAAGTTTAGGATGTCATAAAAAAGACCCAACAAAGCAGTGGCTTGGAGTGCAAAAAAGTGTGTTTCTCTCTCACTAAGGGTTGTGAGGTGAGCAGGGTAGCATTGCTACATGATAAATTCAAGAACCCAGTTCCTTTTATCCTGTTGCTCTGCCATCCACTAGGATGAAGTATCTGGGACATACTTGTACTAAAAATGATTCATTGTTTATCTGAAATTCAAATTTAACTGGGTGTCCTATGTTTTATCTGGTAAGGCTACACTAGGACATTGTATAGTCTTCAGTCATCAAAGCTGGGTTCCTGCAGGTTACAGCTGGTGAAAAGGGAAAAGAAAGTGAAGTGAAGGCATGCCTGCTTTCCTGAGGCTAGACCCAGAAATGTCACATACCATTTCTGCTCATTTTCCATTGGCAAGAACTTAAATCATATTATTATACTTTACTGCAAAGGAGACTGGGAAATGTTGGTTAGTTAAGTGCCCCCCAAAATGGGTGAACAGATTTTGAAGGACAATCATCAGTCTTCATCATAAAAACCTCTTGGGCTGATCTATGTCTTTTATTTATTCTTTCCATATCTTTGTATTTTTGCTCTACATTTTAGGGGCTCTTTTGATTTGGTCTTCCAAGTTGTCTCTTGAATATCTTATTTTAACTATCATATGTTTAATTTCCAAAAGCTATTTCTTAGTTTCTAATTGTGTCTTTCCACTAGCAACCTTTCTTGTTTTATAAAGGTCATACCTTCCCACATCTTCCTGAGGATAGAATCAGAATTTTTAAATATTCTACTGTGCCATTACAATTTGCTGTTGTCTGGAGTCACTTATTCTGTTTATCTTGTCTCTTTCTCATACTTCTAGCTGTCAGCATAATCCTGGTGCTCCTGGTTGCCTGTTTATGGAATAAAAGATCAAGTTGATTAATCTCAGTAATTGAACCGGTTTCCACTGTTGCTGTATCTGTTTCCCTGAGAGACAGCCCTGTTAAATAGTAAGAATGAGTGAGGTCTTCTGGCAGGCTTTACTGTGGGGTGAGTGGGTGGGCAATTCTTGGGGGAATGGGTCCGGGGAGGGTTTGTAAATGTCAGAATGACAAAAGTTTTATTCTGGGATGTCAACATCACACTAAACACACTCAGTTCTCCTGGAGATTTATTGGATTTCTATAGAATGAGCCTTCCGGGTTTTTGCTGTGTGTGTGTGTTTGTGCGTGTGTGTGTGTGTTTGTGCGTGTGTGTGTGTTGTTTGCCTAGAGGTGAGTGCCAGTCACTCTCCCTCCTGGAGGTAAGTTGGGGAGTGACTGGTGTCAGCTTCTGCACAGAAAGACCTTCTACAGACTCTCTAGTTTTTAAGTCTACTTTTCATGTCTGTCCTCAGTACTTGCTAATTATAAACTCAGAGCCTCTCCGGGATTTTGCCAGGAAGACTGGCTCTCACTGCCATTGCCTATGTTCTGGGCTATGGTTCCTCCACTCTGTTGAGCTATCAATGTACGTCATCTACTTCTAGAAATTTGTTGAAGTCTATGTACCTGCCACCCATCTTCCCTGCCATTTTCTTTGCTGTTATATTCCTTTTCCGTCATTTTAGTGGGGTCTCAGAAGGAAGAGGAAACAATCACTGGTGCTCAGACTACTCTCTTGAACCACAAATATGTTTGCGTGCTTTGCAAATCTCCAAGGGTATTTGTTTGTTTATTTTTGCAACTGCTTCATGGGGTGGGTTTATGCTGTTAAATGGTGAGGCGTTTGTTCTGCTGAGCTTTTTGATGTGTTTGTGTATGCAAATTGACATCGGGGCTGAGGAAAGCTAAATAGCTTTTTTTTCTTATTGAGGTAGCATTGGTTTTATAAACTTGTATAAATTTCAGATGTACATCATTATATTTTGGCTTCTGTATAGCCTACATCTTGTTTACCACCAAAAGTCTAGTTTCCATTCATCACCATACAAATGTCCCCCTTCACTCCTTTCATCCTCCCCCGACTACACTTCCCCTCTGGTAACCACCAATCTGTTCTCTATATCTATGTATTTGCTTGTTGTTGTTTTATCTTCCACATATGGGTGAAATCAAATAGTACTTCTCTTTCTACATCTGACTTATTTCATTTAGCATAATACCCTCAAGAACCATCCACATTGTCGCAAATGGCAAGATTTCATCTTTTTTATGGTTGAGTAGTATTCCACTGGGTGTATATACCATATCTTTATTAATTCATCTGTTAATGGGCACTTAGGTTGTTTCCAAACCTTGGCTATTGTGAATAATGCTGCAACGAACACAGGGATGCATATATCTTTTCGAATTAGTGCTTTCATGTTCTTTGGATAAATACTCAGAACTGGAATCACTGGCTCATGTGGTTCTATTTTTCATTTTTTGAGGAATCTCCATACTGTTTTCCATAGTGGCTACACCAATTTACATTCCCACAGCAGTGTTACAAGGGTTCCCTTTTCTGCACATCCTCTCCAACACTTGTTATTTCTTGTCATTTTAATAATAGCCATTCTGACATGTGTGAGGTCATATCTCATTGTAGTTTTGATTTAAATTTCCATAATATCTCTTCATGTGCCTGTTGGCCATCTTTATATCTTCTTTGGAAGAATGCCTGTTCAGATTCTCTGCTCATGTTTTTTATATTGGGATTGTGATAGTTTACAACATTGTGAAATTTCAGTTGGACATGATTATTTGTCAGTCACCATATAAGTGTGCCCCTTCACCCTTGTGCCCAACCCCTGACCCCCTTCCCCCCGGTAACCACTAAACAGTTCTCTTTGTCCGTGTGTTTGATTATCTTCCACATCTGAGTGAAATCATATGGTGTTTGCCTTTCTCTGTCTGGCTTACTTTGCTTAACATAATACCCTTAAGCTCCATCTATGTTATTGCAAATGGGACAATTTTGTCTTTTCTATGGGTGAGTAGTATTTCATTGTGTGTGTGTGTATATATACCACATCTCCTTTAGCCAATCATCAATCAGTGGGCACTTGGGTTGCTTCCACATCTTGGCTACTGTGAATAATGCTGCAATGAGCATAGGGATGCATAAGTTTCTTTGAATTGTTGATTCCAAGTTCTCTGGATAAATACCCAGTAGTGGGATAGCTGGGTCATAAGGTATTTCTATTTTTAATTTTTTGATAAATCTCCATACTGTTTTCCAGAGTGGCTGCACCAGTTTGCATTCACACTAGCAGTGTATGTGTTCTGTTTTCTCCAAAACCTCTCCAGCATTTGTTATTGGTTGTCTTGGTTATTATAGTCATTCTAATGGATGTAAGATGATATCTTAGTGTAGTTTTGATTTGTATTTCCCTGATGATTAGCAGTGTTGAACATCTTTTCATGTGCCTATTGGCTGTCTGTATATCTTCTTTGGAGAAATGTCTGTTCATATCATGCACCCATTTTTTTATTAAGTTGTTTGTTTTCTTGGTGTTGAGTTGTGTGAGTTCTTTATATATTATGGAGATTAACTCCTTGTCAGATATATGATTTGCAAATATTTTCTCTCAATTGGTGGGTTGTCTTTTCATTTTGATCCTGGTTTCCCTTGCCTTGCAGAAGCTCTTTAGTCTGATGAAGTCCCACTTGTTTATTTTTTCTTTTTGTTTCCCTTGTCCAAGAAGACATGGTATTTGAAAAGATCCTTTTAAGACTGTTGTCAAAGGGTATACTGCCTATATTTTCTTCTAGAAGTTTTATGGTTTCAGGTCTTATCTTCAAGTCTTTAATGCATTTTGAGTTTATTTTTGTGTATAGTATAAGATAGTGGTCTACTTTCATTCTTTTGTATGTGGCTGCCCAGATTTCCCAACACCATTTATTGAAGAGACTTTCCTTTCTCCACTGTCTGTTTTTAGCACCTTTGTTGAAGATTAACTGTCCATAGATGTGTGGTTTTATTTCTTGGCTTTCACTTCTATCCCCTTGATCTGTGTGCCTGTTTTTGTACCAGTACCATGCGGTTTTGATTACTATGGTTTCATAGTATATTTTGAAGTCAGGGATTGTGATGCCTCCAGCTTTGTTCTTTTTTCTCAGGATTGCTTTAGCTATTCAGGGTCTTTTGTTACCCCATAAGAATTTCAAGATTCTTTGTTCTATTTCCGTGAAGAATGTCACTGGGATTCTGATTGGGATTGCATTGAATCTGTAGATTCCTTTAGGTAATATGGACATTTTAATGATGTTTATTCTTCCAACCCATGTGCCTAGAATATCTTTCCATTTCTTTATGTCATCATCAATTTCTTTCAGTAATGTCTTATAGTTTTCATTATACAGGTCTTTCACCTCCTTGGTTAAGTTCATCCCAAGATATTTTATTCTTTTTGTTGTGTTTGTAAATGGAATTGTGTTCTTGTGTTCTCTTTCTGTTAGTTCGTTATTAGAGTAGAGAAATGCAAGTGATTTTTGTAAGTTGATTTTGTACCCTGCTACTTTGCTATAGTTGTTGATTATTTCTAATAGTTTTTCAATGGATTCTTTAGGGTTTTCTGTATGTAAAATCATGTTGTCTGCAAACAGCAAGAATTTCACCTTTTCATTGTCTATTTGGATTCCTTTTATTTCTTTTTCTTGCCTAACATCTCTGGCCAAAACCTCCAGTACTATGCTGAATAAGAGTGGTGAGAGTGGGCACCCTTGTCTTGTTCCTGTTCTCAGGGGGATGGCTTTCAGTTTTCCCCCACTGAGTATGATGTTGGCAGTGGGTTTGTCATATATGGCCTTTATTATGTTGAGGTACTTTCCTTCTATACTCATTCTATTAAGAGTTTTTATCATAAATGGATGTTGGATCTTGTCAAATGCTTTCTCTGTATCTATTGAGATGATCATGTGGCTTTTGACCCTCATTTTGTTAATGTGGTGTATCACATTGATTGATTTGCAAATGTTGAACCATCCCTGTGTCCCTAGTATACATCCCACTTGACCATGGTGTATAATCTTTTTAATGTATTGCTGTATTTGGTTTGCCAATATTTTGTTGAAGATTTTTGTGTCTATGTTCATTAGTGATATTGGCCTGTAATTTTCCTTCTTTGTTTTGTCCTTGTCTGGCTTTGGGATCAGGGTGATATTCACCTCATAGAATGTGTTAGGAAGTGTTCCATCTTCCTCAATTTTCTGGAAGAGTTTGAGAAGGATAGGTATTAAATCTTCTTTGAATGTTTGGTAGAATTCTCCAGAGAAGCCATCTGGTCCTGGACTTTTATTTTTGGGGAGTTTTTTTTATTACTGTTTCAATATCTTTACTTGTGATTGGTCTATTCAGATTCTCTATTTCTTCTTTATTCAGTTTTGGGAGGTTGTACAAGTCTAAGAATTTATCCATTTATTCTAGATTGCCCAATTTGTTGACATATAGTTTTTCATGGTATTCTCTTATAATCCTTTGTATTTCTGTGGTATCCACTGTAATTTCTCTTCTTTCATTTCTAATTTCATTTGAGCTTTCTCTCTTTCTTTCTTAATGAGTCTGGCCAAGGATTTGTCAATTTTGTTTATCTTCTTCAAAGAACCAGCTCTTTGTTTCATTGATCATTTCTACTGTCTTTTTTGTTTCAATTTCATTTCTTACTCCTCTAATTTTTATTATTTCCCTCCTTCTACTGACTTTGGGCTTTGTTTGTTTTTCTTTTTCTAATTATGTTAGGTGTAGTTTGAGATTGCTCATCTGAGATTTTTCTTGTTTGCTAAGGTGAGCCTGTATTGCAATGAACTTCCCTCTTAGGACTGCTTTTGCTGCATCCCATACGAGTTGGTGTGGTGTGTTTTCATTTTCATTTGTCTCCAGATACTTTTTGATTTCTCCTTTGATTTCTTCAATGATCCATTGTTTGTTCAGTAGCATGTTGTTTAGTCTC